ATTTCGTTTTAATTTTAATAGAAAATCAGAAGAGATCATTTTAACATTATCTCATTCATTCAATGATGAATTTCGTTTATTATTAATAAATTTATCTTACGAGCTCGTTATGAGACTTTCAAAAATAATCAAATTCGATTGAAATATTTGGATTTCGTTGACGAATGTTAATAGAAACTTTAAAGAGTCTAAATTCGTTCTACGAATCTCCCTAATTAATAATAAATTCTACAAGCTTCATATTTACCAGTAATTAAATTTGGTGGTCGATATTTCCATCCATCCATTGTATCCAAGAACACTGCAAAGACTGACGTTGCCGTAATGATTTAATTTTAAACGAATCTCGTAGATGAATCGAAATCGTGCCTCGCGTACGTCTCGCGGTTTCAGAGGAGGAACGCACTTCCGCGCGTCATTTAGATGCATTTAATGCGGCTATCCGGAGATCTAGAATGAGATACCACGGCGCCGGTCAGCGCATTGTGATTGTGAGAAGCTCGAGTGGCCGTGGATACTTAAGGGCTCATGGAACGAAGATTAAGAGAAGGACTACCAGTTAGAGGCGATGACTGGCTGACTTTTTTGAGAGCCACGAATTATCTTGTCGCGTTTCTGACGAGCTCTGGGTGGTCCACGTTCCACCGAGCGGAATACCACGAAACATTGTTAACCGTTAATAAATCGTCCCGGGAATTATTACAGAACGAACGTGAACGCTGGATTCCGTGCAGTTATAAGGGGTTGCAATTTACTGTCGATACGGCTAGTTTAGATTTCTGTGTAACCCGCAAATTTTCTCATACGCCGTTGGTTAAAAACTGTACAATTTCTAATTCATACGAATGAACAAGAATTTCTTTGTTCAAAGCTTACAATACACATTGGCACGTCACGTCCTCCTACCGTCGCAATAAGATTTCTCAAGTTTTCTGAGTAACTCAAATCAAACCATCGATATATTAAATCGTTCATTTTAAGTACGAATACGTCCTTTCGTCACGCATGCTTGTCTGGAATATTTAAACACAGCTGGAAACGTGCATTGACGATAATAATAATTCCCGAGCATCGGGATCAGCAGGTTTTAATGGCGTCATATCGTTGGCAACAGTTATTCAAGTCGAGAACTCGGGCTAAGCCGAAAGAGATCCAGCTCGTTCGGGAAGATGCTCGCGAAGAGGAAAGTGGATGGCAGTCGTCCTGGCTGCTTCGGAAAAGGATACTTAGGATTAATCAGGAATGCTGTAATTGAATTTAACGTCCGAATTGAGTATTTTCGCTTACAAAGAGCCGAAAGAGAGGAAAGGGTCGAGGAGGAGGGGGACATCGGCGGCTCTGCGGGGGGAAGGGGGGCGGTGGGTAGCGGCGAGCGAGGCGGAGGGGAGGGGGCACGGACGGAGGTTTGAACGAGCGGCAGAGAACCAGGACGAGCCGTGTAATTGGAAAAGCTTCGGATTAACAATTTTGCAGGACTCGGCGAAAATGTTCGGGAAAAGAGGATTGCCGAAGCAATGAGATCCTTTTCGTCGGAGTTTGCAGATGGGAAACGCGACCGGCGAAGGGCACGGTCGCCGTTTATCGATGCTGGAAGTGGGCTTCTTCCAGGGAACACGGTTTAAGAAATTAATTTACCCGCATTATGCATCGATCCCGAGACGCGAAAGACGTGGCAACACAATTTCTCGACTCGTCGGACACCTCCGGGAACGGCGTCGCTTTTGTTTGTTTACGAGATTCGTTTGAACAATTAATTATTAATACCTCGTGTTTAATACGAGATTCGCGAATTGTAGATAAAGAAATTTACGATGAAATTTACGATCGTCTTTGATGTACGAGGCGTGCGAGAGCCTCTCAGACATGAATTTTCGGAAATATCCCAGTTAATCGCAGCGAAGCTCTCGCGATTACACGGAATTTCGGTTATACGCAAAGCATTGTAACTAATTTCATATTTCCCGGCAGCGTTCGTCTCAAATTTCCTCTCGCACGGGGGATAAATGATCCCGACTACGCTATCGTAATTAGATAAATTAACACGGCCGAGGGAACCGTGTCCCTGTGCGGAATACACGCCCGCGGGAACAAGAGTGGTTTGAGGTCTAGTTAACCGGAACTAGGATCGCTGCATAGTGCATCGACTAATTGTGAATAGCGCGAGCCCGCGAAATAAATGCTCGTTATCGCGGCAACAAAAGGAGTTTAATCGATTTACGAAGCGGACGCGCAACGCTTTTGTTCCCTCCTATCTGTTGCTCCTCACCTCGACCGTCCACGGTTATTTCCGAAGAGAAATTTTTGAAACCCGCATTAAACTAACTCCGGTGCACCCTCGAAAACTCCCCATTACTTCCTCGCTCATGCAAGAACGACTCCCCGCCGCGCGTTTCCGCGCAGGTTCTCCTCGCATTAACGAGCGTTAATCTCACCGTTCGCTCGCACATCCGCGTCCGCCTCGAGCATGGTCAAGAAGCCGGTCCGCCTACCCGGAAGGCTCACGATTTTTCCCAACCGCGGCGGGAATATTGCGAATTACGCGTCGCAGTTCCCCGCGTGCAGATAAAGAACCGCGAACGCTCGACCATCCGGAATCCCGTTGGAGGAGGCTTAAAATGCCTCGATGCAGATATTTGCCGTTCGCTTGACAATCTGATACTCACGCCCCCGCGTTCACAATGCGCTGAATTTCGAAGTAGAATAATCCGTTAAGTTAAGAAGCAACCAAGTACTTGATCTGGTGCAGACGGTGGAGAGGCCGGGGGAACAGGGCTCGGATTCGCTCGAGTTTAAGCATTTTTTCTCTCGGATCCTTCGAAATACCCAGGGCGACGAGTAATTGCAATTTCAGGGATCCAACGGCTTTTCAAGTCTCGCGCTACTTAACCGGGCTCGCGTGAATGGAGACGAACCGCGACGTTACACGATCGGGAAACGATCCCCGACTCCTCACGATTGAGCTCGCAGGATCTTCATCAAGATTTTCTCAATGATTTACCACCGCGTGCTCGTTCCGCGCGAAACGAGAGGAAAATCTGGCTGCAGTCAATCATGAATCATTAATATGTACCTATAAGATGTAATAAGAAATATTCACTGACGAACTAAATACAGAAATTGACATATTCCTGTACGTATAATCACGTGATAATTGCTAAAAGGTACAGATTTATTTTTAAGTATTTGAACGTCCAACGTGGCTGGGAAGAAACAGATTTCTATTACGCGGAATGGTTCGTTGTGTACGTAATTCGCGACGCAGATATCCCAGGCTGAAAGTGTACAATAATTTTTTAATAAAAGGCGGAAACTCGCGAGGACCGAAGATGAAGAGGCTGCTCTTATACTACTCTCCGGGCGAGATGAACGTAGGAGATATTTCACTGAGACAAAGCTCCGAGGACAAAAAACTCTTGCTCTTTCTTCCGCCGTACGTGCCCGCCTCGCCTCGCGAAGAAAGTTTCTCGCCGATGAAAAGACTATCGCGCCTCTTTCGAGCTATCACTGACAAATGTTACGTACACGACTCGCATCTGAAAATACAATCGGCAACTCTTCCGCTTTATTCAGCCTCTCTTACCCAATTTCTTGGCTTTCATTAGGAAAATTGTTTTTATGTACAAATTACAGATTTCTGTTATGTTCGAATGGAATCCCTTTTGTACGAGAATTTTATTCAAAATAATGAGAACTGCAATGTGTGTCATGTGTATGATAAAAAATAGGAAGCCCTGGGAGATGATAAAAATTCGAGTTTTGAAAGAATAGCTCGATTTTGATTACGGATCCGAATACGGGCCTCGGAAAAGTTCGCCGTGACGCTATCGGGAGGCTCGCCGGCGAAGATCACGAGTCTGCACACCCTCGCGGCGTCCGCTGCACCCCCGGCAACGACGTCGACACCACCAACACCACGGCCGCCGGGTTCCTCAAGTGGAATTGGCGGTGTTGAACGTCGTGAAACGCATCCGAGGAGAGTAGATTTTAAGTCGGCCGGCCTTAAGGGCGTGTTTCCCTTATCCGTCGCGGACGGGTTCAGTGTAAATCGATTTACCCTCTGGCCAATGAGGGTGGAAAATGGCGCGTTCTGATTGGCCCGTGGCAAAACCACACCCCTTCTGATAATAGAGCTTCTGGCGCGAAGCCGGTTTCACCAAGCCACAATTTCTACCTGGGAACTTAGACACCACAGGGTGTCAAAAGTTACACAATTCTCGAGCTCGAGTAATTTAAAATTCGTTCTATATAAAACGGGGTAATAAAAACGTGATAATTTCTACACTTTGGCATGAATATAAATGACTTTAATACATTTCGTTCAATTAATCAATCTGTTTATTACGTCGACTGTATCAAACTTTCTACAAACGATCGGTGAATTGTCAGAACGCTTGCGTCGACTGGTTGCAGCGTCTAGTCGCGCGACTGGCCGTTCGGTGAAGCCGGGAGAAGTTTGTATCTCCGATGGATTCAACATCCGAGTATTTTCCCTGTGGTAAACCGGTCTGTTGTAGGCGTACCTCGACGAGGCGTCGGCATCGGTAGATCCCACCTTCCATCTGGTAACTAGGGCTATGTCTACCCGGCTGGCCGTCTCAAAAAAACCGACCAATCCGCGATGCGAGACGGCCACTGTCGGCACGTCAAGTAGCGGAGGCGCCTTTGTTGTCGAGGGGTCGACGAGTGTAGAAAAGAAGGGCCCAGAGTGGGGTTGCTCGCATGGACCCAGGTTGAAAGGGAGCGGTCCGCGGGGCGAGAAGGGATCGCGGCCGTCGGAAAGAGACGGAAGCATCGTTGGAAGGGGCAATCGACGTCGGAGGGGGTGTAAACGCCACCCTCCGCGAGTTGGAGTCCGTGTGTGGGTGCGTGTGCCGCGCACAACCGCCCCCAGGGGTTTCCCTTCCTCGTTGGGTGTCGCGCAGTCGAGCAACCCCGTGCTGCTCGGCAGCTCAGTTGTCCATCGCCGCGACGACGACACGGTTGCGCCACGACGACGACGACGACGACGACGGCGACGACGACAGACAGACGTCACCGGGACTACCCCCCGAGAGGCACGCTCGCTTTTCTCTCGTCCATACGTAGCCACGGTTCGTTCGGTTCGGGTCGAGTTTTTCCGCAGACCACGTCAGTGAGAATCCAGTATTCCGATGCGAACGTAATCCAGCGGCCGCAGTGGTGTTGTCAGTGAATCGTCCGACGGATCTCGACGCCTCGTTACCAGTGCACGAATCCAGCCGAAGGGAGGACGAAGGCCGGTCCTGAGTTCTAGAACAGTGACCGCGGGTCGATCATCGCCAGATTCGTAGGCGAGCGACGAGGGAGAGGAACGAGGAAGAGGTTGCTCTGTCCCTGAAATTCAATCTGACGCGGACGAGGGGGCCCGAGGTTCCACGAATTTCCATGCGCATCGTTCAGAGTTTTGTTCGCCGCCGTGAATGAGCCCGTCACGTGCTATCGTGAATAGAATATCCCTTGGACAGAGATAAGGTTCTAATTGTCCCCGGGGCTGGTTCGGCCCGGCCGGTGTTCGACCAACGCAGGAATCCGTACCTGATCACAACGAAACGGACGTTCAACGAATAGACTACAAGTGCGAGAGGTTAGACGCGTAGTTTTCTAGACAGTAGACGTGTTTAAGGGTGAAACGAGACACGAAGTACCGCGAGGAGTGAGGCAGGATTCGTTTCTAGTCGTCGCTCAGGTTGCCGTCGCTCGCCGCAAGCTACCTGCTCAAGTCCCTCCGCTCGAAGGATCGCTCGATTCTACTTTTACAACGAAGATAAGTCGAAAACGCTAAGCTATCTTGTAACCCTTTTGCCACCGAGAATCGCTCGCAGCTCGAGGCATTTTCAATAATGGAGATCTATGAAAACACTTAGGGCCACCGACGGGTCCGTCAGCCTGTTTCTCGATTCACGGAAAACTGTTCCATATATTTTTCACGAAATCCGTTGAATCAACTTCGCGGCAGGCCTATAGTAGAAATCGGCTATCAGCGATCGTTGAAATGACACGAACGTAATACGTGTCGCGAGTATTTGACCGCCGTCGGATCTCGAGCGAGCGCATTATGCCAGGGCCTAGCGATAATAACTTGGTCACTTTATTATACCCGTTCAACTTCGAGGATCAGAACTGATCGTCAGCGAGCATCGAGCAGCAGGTCAACGAATTCAATCGAGGAACTCGAATTTCCAAACAAAGTTCCTACGAATCTCTACGGGAGAGAGCAACTTGTCGCCAACCCGACTGACTCCGACGAGTTTCGAGCCAAATTGCCGACAGACTGTCACAGAGGCAGGATGTCGTTTTGAATCGTGAATCGTAAACCGACGAAGAATCCAAGATGCCGCAGCGGTCGCCGTTCGCGATCCAAGAGCTGCTGGGGTTGAACGGTACCGGAAACGGTAGCGGTACCGATCGCGGCTCGCCCCAAGGCTCGCCGCCGGCCGGAGTCTCGGCCGTGTCGTACGCGCCCACCGCGCCTCATCACAAGCTATGGGACTACATGCCGAGCCTTACGAATCATCTGGGCAATCTGGGGAATCTTGGGAATCTGGGCAACCTCACGGCCTCGCGGATGGCCTACCTGAATGCGCAGGCGGCCGTCGCGGCTGCCTTCCTGCCGCCGCCCCACCCCCACCCGGCCCACCACGTACCGCATCATCAGGTACATCAACCGGGCCAGCTTCCGGCCTCGCCGGCCGGCGTCAACGTGCATCCGGCTGCACACGCGCAGCACGTACTTCCGGGCACCGCGGTCACCGCGAATCATCATCAGCACAGCCCGAGTCAGCACACGCCGCCCAACGGTGAGTCCCAGTTCTTAAAATTAATTAGCCTCAACGCACAGGATTCGTAAGAAAGCACAGCAAATACGCGTGACATGTTTCAAATCGATACCACGATTGGTTCACTCTGCACAGAAATTGATTACATCATTGGTTCTAAGTACCCGTTCATTAAATACGTCCACTATTCACGTCTGGGATTGTATGAGTATTGACCGGAGTTGCCGTTTATTAATATACCCTCCTTAAAGGTAGCTGCGAGCTTTACCTAAATTAAATGGGGAAACTGTTTCAAATTCCTCATTGCTTATTTCGAACGAGACCGGCGAGCTGTAATGCGTCATTATCGTTAAAACTCGCCCCGTTTATTTATAGATGACGATTAAGATGACATTGTTTCCGTCACATCGTTCCGCTCGCGAGACGTGGCCCATTGTGCTACGACAATTATAACCGTACCATTTATTCCACGAATGGCGCCTCTAACTGTTTCTTTTATCGCGGGGGGAGGGGGAGGAGAAGGAGGAGGAGGAGGAGGAGAGGGTGCAGCTGGGGTTCAGTCGTTGAAGGATCGATAATTAATTTTACACAAACCGTGCGCCGCATTGTCGCTAAGTAACAAGCGACCACTCGACTCGGTCTTAACACGTTCGTTAAGACCTACATCTTGCAAGGCCCGAGCCTGACCAAGTCGTTAGCCGGGGCTCTTTCGTCAGCTAGACGCAAAATTGTACAATGAGGCTGACCCGGAGCTCTTCGCCAGCGAGAAAGGATCGGCGCGCGGCTATACAAGCCGCACTTCCTTTAAACGCGGGTCCGGCTGTTGGCGCGCGCGGCCGAACAGGGCAAGAAAGGCGCGAGAAACCAATTAAAAAACCGCGGCAGCCTCGATACCACCGGGCATTGATTCCCCGCGACGCGACGCGACGCTAACGAGCGTTTGTCGGGCAAAAACGAGTCGTCTCATCGCCGATATAATAACGCATTGATCGGTAATCGTCGGCAGATTGCGTTTCAATATCTCCGGGCGAGGATGAACCTGGACGACCCCCGTGCCATTCAAGTAAATTAATAGGCGTATCGTTCGTGTCCCGCCGTGAAACGAGCACTTAACGTGCCACTTACGGATATCACTTAACAGAGAGCCACTCAAGATCGTGTTACCGAAAATCGACGCGCTCGCACCTTTCCACGGCGACTATTGTGCCGCGGCTACTTTTCGTACACTTTCAGGGAAGGCCCTCCGGTTCTATTCCACGGCTGACCGAAATCGGTCCACCGATTTGTGTACAAACAGTGGGACTTGACCAGCTGCGAACTCGCGGACACTCGGGAAAGAAACGCGGAGATCGCCGGCTATTTTAGATTAACGTCCGATGAGTCGGGGTGGGAGAATCGGGGAAAGAATGAGGTGGGCCATGCCGGGGGTGAGTGCACTGTGGGAATTGAATTATTTTGTCCGAATAATCCCCAACGTTATGAATAATTAGTGGTATAATGAGTTGAGTGTCGAGCAGACCTGCAACGTCTCACCAAAACACAATGGGGCTCGACAAAACGTAGAAATGGCCGCAATCCCGCAAACTGTTCTCAACCTGTACCTCATTTATTCCACGTGAGAATCGGATAGGTTCTCTCTAATTATATCGCCGATCAATTGAAAACTGATAACTTCTTCAATTGTCAAATCGCATGGTTAAAAAATTAATATTTAATTACGAGTCGTTTGAAAATATTCCATCGATTAAACAACCATAAATGTTTTCAATTCCATGAGTAATCAGGATGTTCGAAATATTTCATTCGAAGCAAAGTGTAAAAATGTGTGATAAGACGCGAATCATGTTGTAAATACTCTATTAGGGCAATAACACGGATAGACTGTAGTTTCTGTTCGCATAACGAATTTTGAGAACAATTTTCGGGTGTCGGGTTCCCGGTGCAGCACAAAGGATCTGCCCTTCCATTCAAACGTCACTCTAGCACCTCGTCTTACAGTACAGCATTTATTTGGCGCACTTCATTCGTCCCTTTTTGTCTTAAATCTTGGCCAGACTTAAAGACGAGAGCACAGACCAGCCAACTGCTTCATTTGCCCTCGATAATAATTATATTATCGATCGTTTCACCAATCGATTACGACGATCTCTCACGTGCTCCCTATTTCACAAACGAGAACGAATGAACGAAAGATTGAATGACGATTTATGAAAGTAAATAATCTGCAAATATGCAAGAGTTATTGAATACATAAAAAAATTTCATATATATAATAATTGATAAAATGATTTTTTAATAACGAANAAGTAATTCAGAGTATCTTTCGTTCACAAGATTTGTTACCCATTGCTTATTATGACATTCAAATAACAAAAAAGAGGACCTAATAATCGCTTTAATACGTGAATTTCGTATTATAATAGAATTTAAGTAGCATAGATAAACGATAGCGTCAGACAATGTAGAGACAGTAAATGGCGAACGATCAGCAGCGGCGTTAAACGGTTGAGAGGTCCGTGAGGCGAGAACAGTGCGGATCTGTAAGCCTAAAAATTGCGAGATCCGCGGGTTGGTACATGGCACAGGAGAGCGTTGTATAGGAGCGCGTTCGTCTCTCCTCTCGCGCCGCTTTTTCGGTTCGTTTGAAGTTGGCAATCAACTAGATTGCCTATCAACGCCTGAGAAGTCTCCTTGCACGCTCCCGTCGCGTCGTCACCGGTCCACTCCTTTCCTCGCTCTCTCTCGCACTTCTCTATTACACCCTCGCCGAACGGGACAACGTTGTTCTTCGTTTATTCTCGCTGCGCGCTCGTTCCTCCCACCCTTTCTGCTTTTTTCCTTCGCCTGTTCCTCGTACTTTCCTCGAACCCTTTCCCTCGCTCGAACAGAAGTCCTGCCAACGCATCCGAGCGATTCCGCAAAACGTCGCGCAATCGGTACGTCATTGTTTCCTTCCGCCGAAGGGGCAAGGAGAGTGTTCGGGGTCCTTACGTACGGCCTCAATCATTGACCATTATTTCATGGATACTAAGGACGTTTAAATGGTGAATTTTAATCGAGGAATTTTTGGATCGTTAACAGAACCAAAACGATGAGAATATGTTGAATCGGGGGGAATTGCACGTTTGATTATAAACGTCGTTTTAATGACGATTGCGAAGGTGATAGGTAGGAAATGATTGGTAATCATAGGGGAAGACGAGGATCCGCGCGTTGATTCGTCACGCCCCTGACGGAATGGTTCCTGGCGGAAAGTCGAAGTACGAGAGGAGAGGAATGAAACAAAAAGAAAAAAAAGCGGAAAAGGGAGAAATTCCTGAGGCCGGGCGATGGGGCGCGCTGGGAAGGTGGGCGGAGGGTGGCACGGCACGGATAAGGGGTGCGGCCTGTAAGCACAGGTCGATACTGATTAGTACTTCAAAGCGGCTTGAACCAGCGAGCCCCACGCGCTCCGCATCGACGAGGCGGATTCGCGACAAAGCAAGCGCCGGTACTCGAGCAAAAAATCTTGAACAAATTAGCGGATTATGAATTCGCCCGGCTTTGTTTCCGGGAAAGTGGTTCGCAGACGCGTGTAAGAGGCTCGCGACACGAATACGTAGCCCGCGGCGGTGCTGCGGCCGTGCGCGCGGGCGGCGATTTTGCGCGATCACGTGTGCGTAAGTGTCGCCGCAAATTCAAATTAGCCTACTACCGGTGCTTGAAACCGATACCAGCAGAGAGAAACGATTACTCCTCTCGCGCCTCCTGTCCACGGCTCCTCAAAAACACGGGAACCCTCGTAACCGTGCATAACTCTTCGCCTCGAGATCGCATGTATAATAAAAAGGGTGATGGGCTCGGCTCCGATCGATTCCAGGAGGAATCGCGAGTCGGCCACTCGGCTCTCGCGACGGCGAATGCAAATTGAACGAAATTAAACAGTTAATTAAAGTAGCGGCGCCCCCCGGGAGAAGTTAATTGAGATTCTTGGGAGATTTGTCGCGCGGAATGTCTTAATTTAGTCCCTTAAGCGCCCTAACTCGCCTTAACAACTTAGAATAATTGGATAACACTGCCAGGGTGTGCTCGCCGTCAGAAGTAGGAAAATTTCAACCCTCTCGCCTGTGACGACTCTCTTCTTTCTATTCTCTTTCTAACGCGCAACGGCTCACCTCTAGCACACTGTTTTATTCCTGTCTCTCGTACACTTGAATTCTTGTAAAAATCGTTGGAAACGTTTGGTCGACCCGTTCGCGTGCGAAAGAGGAAACGTTCGTTTTCCCATCGGTCGACCAGCAATTTCCCAGGTTCAGAAATGATTCGGTCTCATTACACCCTGGTCGCGGTGTCAATCATGCGACCCTCCCTCGCCCTAATCGCGTAATCCGCTGGAACAAACCAATCGCGAAATGCGAAGAAAATCTGTTGCCTCCCCCGTCGCGGTTTTCGGCCGACGAACCGTGGAAAACGCGAAACGGCTATTCCACGCGAATCTAGTCCAATCGATTACTGGCATGCCGGATATTATAGATAAAATTGATTTAGCAGACAGCAAAAGCGAGTGTCTATCTCCCGCGTAATCGTTACTCAATTATTTAATTTGTCGACGCGCGATGCACGCGGCGCGGGCCGCTGTGTGCGTGCGTGGATGCGTGGCGGTTCAATGGAAAATCCGTAGACGGGGCACGATTATCGACGGACAAACGGTATCGATCTACCCACCGGCAAAGTCATGCGCGCTAACAGGCTGGGTAAGCATGTTTCACCATAGCGTAAACCTCGCCGGCATTATTTCAAGGCGAGCACGTACACAGACGCACGGCGCCCGCGCGAGTATAGGTAGGTGGGCGACTATCAATCGGCCTTTTCGCGGCTGCTACTCACCTCGTAAATTTTCACCCTTTGACACGCGCCTAATACGAGACCCTTTGGGGGCTACGAGCACGACCGCTCGCACCACGCGTCGCGTCGCTCCACGATGACGGTGGTGCTGGTGGTGGTGGTGGTGGTGATGATGCTGGTGGTGGCTCGGCTAACCC